TCAGAATGTATCCTGCGTTCACACAATAAATAACTGTTACAATTTAATGCCCTGTAGTGATCAGTAATTGCGCCCAAGGCAGTTGCTTCCGATGATTTCCTGCCCACTCCGACCACTTTTAAAAACTTCCGACCACGTCCGCCCACACCCGAACACGCTTTGTCGAGCCCGACAACTTCCGGTCACTTCCGACCACATCCGAAAAACTTCCAAACCCCGGCCACTTCCGACCACTTACGGGTTTTTTCGCTGTGATAGAAACCACAAATTAAATGAAACAACAACTATAATCTGCCAAAATTGTTGTCTTTCTCTGAATTGAATGCTTCAGGTGATTTCTTGACGAGACAAGCATCCATAAAACTCCAACAAATTCTTCGTCCCTCAAGTTATTGTACTGTATTCGTAAGAATCTTTCATAATTTGCAATGAGATTTGAATGCTGCTTTAGATACATTTGTATGGTTGGGGGTAATTAAATATTATGCACTAAGTATTTGAATATGAACAGCTTCATTCTATAACGTCTCCGTTAATATGAATTCCGCTGACTTGTATTTCCAGTACAATTTAAACCAATTTTTACCCTTGTCCCTGTGAGGCTCTCTTAGTCGCCTACTTTAAATTTAGTTCCAAAGAATCTAGGAGAAAAACTTGTGCAAAAACGGCATTTCGAATTCGCATTTCAGCGAACGATTCTCCTGACATATGGCTATGAAAAAAATGTAGTAGCACATGGAGAGTTAGCTGAAACAGATCTAGTTTCAACATTTTTCCGTTTAAAAAAAAACAGACATTGCTTTATTCAGAAACAACAATAAGAAGAACTTCTTGATTGTGATTGATAACGAGAAATTTGATAGTAGCCCGACAAAACAGGAAATTTTACAGAGAAGAGGTTCCGAAAAATAATTTGTTTGTTTCTTTTTCCGTCTAAACAGTGCAGTGTTTGGAAAAAGAGTTATAAAAACATTTTATGCTATCATTGCACGGAGAAAGAACTAGAACTTTTGCATGAATTGTAATAACCCCACGCATCTACGTTAGTGTCACGTAGTAATCAAAGCATTTTAATGATTTTTGCGATTAATTACTGAGGCGCAATTTTCATGCAATGAGGTAGAAATATTAGTCAGTTGACAACGAAGTCATCATCACTTGTCAGCGTTTCTCCGTAGAATTGATTCAAACCCAGCAAGACTTGCTTATAAACTTTTTAAGTATCTTTGATGTATTGGGTCCAAAGTAATTTTCTAAATAAAAAAATACTTGTTTTTGTTCCAGTTTAATAGAAGTATAAATTATTTATCGTTAGAAGTTTCATCAAATGAAGACGAAAACATTACCGTATCTTGTGACACGAAAAAATTGTTTCGTTCGCATAAATTTACCGACCCAGTCTGTGCCTTTGGATTATTACAATTGGCCAATTAAAACTGTATTAGCATTCATAATTGCACGAAAACGTTTTAAGTTCTTTACAGCCTTAACTGAACATGTAGAGGGATTAGGGACTGAAAGAGTCTTTAATATACAGGCTAGACGTGACTGGTGTGATAGTCTTTCCCCTGATATTCTACACTGGCGCTTTCAATGTAAGAGACATACGTGATACAGTCATAGATCTACCATTACAGGGCTAATACACACTTCTTATATATTCTTAAAAAAAATAACATACCGTTTTCGTTCGCATGTAAACATGGATTGAGCGAGGAAGCGCACTCTTTCAGGAAGACCCCTCGAAGAAAAATAAACCTTGTGGTTGAATTCTCGGGCAAACATCCTCTTGTTCTAGGAGCAATCGATTCCCGTTGTGAATTTTTGCGTTTCACGTTGTTTTCAAAAACAATTTACACCGGTGTTCGTCCATTTGGAATGACTAAAATGTCTGCATGTTTCAGGGCGTTTTTCCTCGCAAAGTAAGACTTCTGTTTAAGCACAGCTTGAATGAAGATTTCGAGGTCAACTTCCCAGACCAACACATGTGAAAAGTTAATTGTCATGCAGGAAGACGTGTGGAAACTCAGCAAGCTTCCTCTCCTCGCTCGCACTGCGTTAATGCATGCCTAGCTCTTAGCTAGTATGCCATTTACACGCTGACAAAACATTTTGGCAAGTGAAGCGGTTTGCGCGTTTTCGCCAACACTTATTGTAAATCATGTCGAAATAGTGAAGCAACTAAGCAGTGCACAAAAGCAAGACGCTATGACATTCCATTGGAGAATTGTTCTTCAGAGCTTAAAGAAGCACGCCTTGTTAATTAAGTTTTCTATAAATTTGAATATAAAGATCTCCGCAAAATCCAGTTCACCATTAAGTAGTGTTGAATTTAAAGATAACATTGATAGCCTCGAAGTGTCGTCTCGGTTGCGGTCCTATGTTCTTAAGTGGCTCAGTTTTGAGAATTTATAGCGGAATCAACACAGATTCCTTAAACCCTTTGACCCCTAAGAGTGACCAGTATCTAATTTCTCCTTACAATATCGCACCTGAATCACACATTAGGTCATGAGAATAAAGGAAATGATCACCAAGCAGAGAAGCTCTTGATTGTTAAACAAATTCTCCTTGTCAGCATCTTGACAAATGTATAGAGAACGGTATGGAGAATATGCATACTGATGTTAGGGTGTAAAGGGTTGAGTTCGAAATCGTTTTGCTTCAAGGAGTGATCGCTTGAAAAATTCTCTTTAGGATTTGAGAACAGCGTCTAGAAGACAGGTAATGAGGAAGAAGAAAAGCAAATTGGACGTACAGTTATGGTATCATACCAAAGCCTTACGAATGAGCAAATTATTTAAAGCTCGTTAGGTGAATTTATTGTGAAAATGTCCTTGCTGGTTGCTTTAGTAAAGTATTAATTGTAACATCAGAGCATTAGCGACAGAGAAGGAGTTTCCTGATCCAAGCCTTTAGATAATGCACGTCAGATTTGCCAGAGTAATTGATGCATGGCCTCTCAAACGGATGTATGTTTCCCCAAGACGACCTCATGAATGGTAGCCTCGGTCTCGTATTTTGCGTTGATAGCGCGGATTTCCGTTTTGACACAGTAAACGACTTTGAAAAAGATATAGAAAATAGTATTTCTTGAGCAAAAATTTACAATGTGAACCGTTTACGGAAAGCGTCTTTCCTTTGCATCTGAAACCAATTACAATTATGCCGAAATCAACGCACTGATTTCCCTCTCTGTTTCCCTACTTTGTCTTGTTTTTGGGGGTGATGATAAGTTAATCATTGCTGTTGAAATCAGATGCACCTGGATCCAGATAGCTCCAGGTATGCGAAACTTACTAGTACCGGAAACAAATATTTCCCTTTTTTTTTTCTTGGTGCATCCACTCAGCGCCGAGGAATCTCCTCCTTCGGGGAAGTAGGACACTTTTACCTATCCCACGGTTAATTGTAGGAGAAGAGGTGCATTGCTTGCCCTTATACGCTTCGTGATTAGCGCTAATGACTTCAGAACGAGAAGCCTGGATTCGAGCGCTACCCTCTACACCTAAAGCAAAGATGGTCAGTTCAATTTTTCAAAATGCTTAGGGTATTTTGCGATGAAATACTTTGGCATGCTGCCCTAATCGGGATAACGTCCTCTGAAAATGGACCACCAGTCTAGAAATTTTTCTATAAATTTAAGTAAAAGACTCAACTTTTGGTACCTGATAACAGGTTGCCGAAAAATAGAAGCGTTACTGTTTATTGATGTCGCTAGATTTCTTTATTTAGCATGTCTCGTCGACTCGTTGTCACTTAGGCCAACTCACTTTTATTTGCTTTTCATGTCCATTGTGTGTTTTGACACCTCGATTAATGTTTTTTTAGATTCGGTGCGACTTCTCTGCTTGACTTTCAGACTGATCAAATAACTCATTATAACTAAAGAATAGCCCTTTTAATTTGAATTTTGCGAAAAAAAACATGTTAAAAAAAAAAATCAGTGCCAAATGCGACTGACAACGACCGAGCCAATTAGAATTCGGATAAAATGCACGTGATCTCGTAGACCACATGTGAGCCTGCAGTTTTGGGTAGTTCTGTTATATTAGCGTACCGAAACATTTGGAACCTCAACCACTCTGCGAACAATATTTTTAATTCTTCAATTTCTCTTTCTTAATCTTTAAATTGTTTCTTTGTTTGAGTCTAGGACAAAGCTGTACTCTGCCAGGCGAACGGTTATGGCATTCAACTCTAAAAGAAAAAAACGTCGTATCTTCGTCATAATGATTGTTTGATCTGTAATTTTGCAGGAAATTAGCCCTTCAACGAACTGCTAACAGTTACTAATATATTTGCTACCTCTTAAAGATATTTGCTCTTTTTAAAGAGTAATCTGAAAGGTAAGCATCCAGACCAGTTCCTCACTCAACTCATAATCTTCAAGAAGCTTATCTTACTAAAAAATCTTTTCCGATAAGAACTTCAATTTCAAAACTGTTTTGTGCTTCAATATTTATGTTGTACAGCCTCGAAACACTGTAACTATTTTTTCAGCCTTCTTTCACGTATTTGCTCCATGCCCGAACCTTTTAAAAGGTTTGACTGGCCGTTGGCCAACAAAACTCAACTGCTCAAAGAAATTGGGCTAAAATGAGAATTGTTATGTTTCATCGTCTATGTTTTAGCGATAAGAGCAAATAGAGAACAAAAGAACAATACACTGCACAGAAACAGTATTAGAGAAGAATAATATCAGACTGCAAATATCCGTGGGAAATATTAATTGATGTAGTGAAGAGATTTTTCTTGTAAAAAGCTCGATGTGTCTTTTCGACTGTCGCACAAATCACGTTAATTAATGTTCTTTGCGATAACCTTTCATTGCAACGAGGTGAAATACTGTGTCGGTTTTTTTCAAAGCTTTAAAACCCACGTGAAGTGTTTAAACTGATAAGACACTTGATTAAGAGTTGGTTAAGAAGAATTACTACAAACTAAGGATTATCGAAAGTAGTGCCTCAATCAATCACGATGCTATGACAAATACCTACTTGTAAACAAGACTTGAACTTTCCGTCTAGGATAGCTCACCAATAACGAAACTTATCTGCATTTGAAGGATACTATACTTCGTCAGATCTTCTCACGACTGTCGCCTCTGGGGAGTTTAAGCATAAATGACGTATATTGAATACTGGATGCCGTAGTTATAAATTCTCTTTGGGATATGCGACCTTTTATTAAGAAATGCTCAGTTCCAAACAATTTCAAAGATGTCCTGTCTCGTCGGTGTAACAAGGAGTCGCGACACCTAAAACAAAAGATTAATACTCCTAGGACGAGAATGTGATTGTTTTACTTGGTTATAATGAAAGAAAAAAGCCACAAAGAACAGATTTGTTTTGAAAGTCGGGAGACACCCCTATCCAGTGACATTGTTTATAGTTAGATATAGTCGCGTGCAAATTGCCAGAAAAAAAGGACAGAAATATGCATTAGCGACACAAACGAATTGCAGTTTGTGAGGATGTTTTCCACCTTTTGAACAACAATTTGAAAATGTCGTAATCTGTTTCCATTTTTTTTAGCTTTAATCGAATATTTTCCAAGAATTGAGCGAATGAAATTTCTTTCATAACGGACAAGAAAGCCAAGAGATCGTCGCGTTCCTTGAAAGAAGAAAAAGAGAGAAACTGTTCAAGATGAACTTTTAATTGCGGTCACATGGCGCAAATTGGCTTAATTTTGTTAAACAATGGTAAGCAAAATGTTTGCATTCTTTTAGGACATAAGGAAACTCCTGAGGATTCAGTGAAACTTCAAACAAACGGGTGAATAACAACTTGAAGCAAAAACTATTTCAACAAACGCAGTATGGTAAAGACACCAAGTTGATTGAACTCGAAACGATAACTCTGAAGGTTACTTGTAGAATCCTTGTCGTTGAAACGTATGCTGTTGTGGCGTTTCAATCAGTGTTATTGTTTCTAGTAATCACTTTATTGGATCTATATTTGCAATTTAAATCGTGTCATAAATAGGATTTCACTAAAGGAGATTAGGGCCGACAAAAGAAGGTTTAAGGAATCATTAAACCTTTCCTCGCATTTACTGCACGCCTTCACATGATGATGTTTATCTAGGAAAAAATGGTGGAGAATTCCATGGTATGAAAAAAAAACATTACAGTGATCATTTCAACTCTTGCGTCGTTCTTTATAACACTAGCATTTGCGACTGAGTCAAGGTGACCTCGTCCCAACCTCTATAACCAGTTGATAAAAAAAATGTTAATACAATTAATTTTTCTATTGATTTGAGTGTAACTGTTTGAATCCTCGAAAGAGATCTTTATCTTTTTTTTTTTGCGATAAAGTGAGTTAGGTGTAGAATACAATGTAAGGTCTGATTCAGGATAAGGCGATGTAAAGACGATTTGATAATTCAGTATTATTGTTCCAAGCGAATCTGTTCGAATGTTAATATAATTCTAAATTTCTTTAAATATATTGAGGTGCACTTTTGAAATCGTTGAAGTTTTTCGTAAATTGGAATAAATTCTTGAAATTAGTTAGCCACGATAAACAGATGGCAGATACAAGCAGAGAGCTTGTATAGAGGAGAGGATTAATGTCGCAGAACTGCTGGAAATGACGAACTAAGAAAGTTTAAGTAAAGTTTTGTCAGGATGTGTAAAAATTAAGAAGTTATCTTTTGAAAACACAATTTAAACTCAAGAAGCGTTGATTTTCAGCGTTATGTCTACTTACCAAGCTGTGGCCTGTGTAGTCGGTGGCAAAAAGTGCACTGAGGTAGAACTGAGTTCCTAACGTGAATTTTTTTGCAAACAGAATACGTCTCGCCAGCGAGACTGGAGGAAAAACGATTTGAAATTAAATCCCCGCAAAATTGTAATCAAGGTATCTAAAGACGCTTTCAATAATGTCTCAACACGGCTCGGCTTACTCAGCGAAATTAAGAAAGAAATTCTGCAAATGTACGTCGCGCCGAGAGTTCCTAATCCGAGCACAATTGCGCCATAAGTTTACTGATGTGGTTCCCATTTCGATATACATCATTTATTTGGTAAGTGGCTAAAAATTCAAAATAATAAACGTATTTCTTTCCCCCTTGCACAACTGGTTAAGCGTTACTCTCTAAAGAGGTTGATGCACGTACGAATTGGAGTAACCAAGTTAGAATCTGATAGTGGAATATTTTAATCTGACATAACCCTCTAATCTCAGACAGCTGAATAATCCCAGAACCATGGGACATGAAGACCTTTTTAGTTAGTACTGCTCTCTACTAACCTAAACCTCAAAAATATGAATTCAATTTAACCTCTCGGGGCACTCACCCTCGAAGAATTGCGTAAAATATTTTAACCAAAATTTTTCTCTGATTGCGTAATCTTTCCCATTCACGGTTTGGATCGACTACCTGATGCACTTACACTATTAATAGGGATAGCTTAAAAACAAGTCGAAAATATGACATTTTTAAAGTCAGCTTAGCTGGTTACTTACTGAGGTAAACGGATTGAAGTATTTTCGAGGCATTTTCGCGATTTTCTGGTCCATAAATGTGGTACTGTTTTGATTATTAGGTTCAAGTAAAAACAACAACGGGAAATATTTTTTGGTGACTTGCCATGATTATGTCTTATTTTGCTTTGTGGGACCGCCCCGACAAAACAACAATAAGACATACAACCGTGTTCTTGACGCAACAGTTTCATGTTTTTCTTAACTTAACAGACATTCAAAAAAAATTTCCGTCTCACTATGTCTGAAGCCAAAATATTATTTCCGGCATACAAGTTTTCAGTTGAAAGGACAAAAACAGAACATCGGTTAAAAACACCTGATGTACTTTGGAATTCACTAAATTTACATCAGACCAATATATGTTTCATATAGAACCTCTTCATATAAAGATCCACTAGTTCAAAGTGTTTTTGTTGTGAAAAAGGAACACTGAAAAATTCCGAATTTTATATTTTGATTTTTTTAAGATTTGTAGAGCGGGACAGCCTTATCAGAGAGGGCCTTTCTAATAAGGCTGTCCCGCTCTACAAATCTTAAAGTCGTCGACCAGCAAGTTGTTCCATATCGCTGTACAAAGGTTTTGTAAGTGACCGGCTCTTTGTAATTATTTATTTGCAGCTCTGATAGACTTAATCTGTAATTTATGCACAAGTCCAAAAGAGTACTTAAACCACAAAAACTAACAAACATGTTAACAGTATTGTTTCACTGTTTGTCTAAATCATTTCATGACGAAAGCCAAGCAATCCAACATTCAGATTTCTTTGTTGATTTTTCAAACTTCTTGTTGACGCAACTAACTTGGAGCGTGGCATATGGGATATCATGAATAAAGGGGGTAAGTTTGTAAAAAACTGTGGTGCTGCGTCGCTTGGGGGTTTTACAAGATGATTCGGTTTATTCATCTGAGTTGACAATCTAAATTGGCCACCTTAAAGAGTTTGTAAAGTTGAAATTTCGAGCGTTAGCCCTTCGTTAGAGCGAAAAGAAGGATATCAAGTTAAGAGTCGAACAGTTGAGATGTTTGCAAAAAAATATATTCAGCTGTGAAATGACAATGTGGACCGGTGTTAAGTTGTTCGGTTATTTCTTAAGATACAAAACATCCAGAACAGTATTCGATATCTAGTCTGCCCGCTTTGAGTATAAATTAGCAAAAACGCTTACTTTTATCGAGTCAATAAAGAGGTTTGTATATCTTAAAGAATGGGCTTTAGAGGGTTGAAACAAAATCATGTACGAAAAAATGGAACAAAAGCTTATGAAAAATTGGTGTTACCTCAGTCCCCTTTTTCAGAAATGATCTGCTTATCCATAGTTATCCTAGTTTCTTGAGGTGAATTATTTAGCTCAAGATTTTAGAATTACAGCCGAACCCCGCTATCTCGAACGCGATTACCTCGAGTACCCCGGTAACTCGAACAAGATCTAATTTCTCACTGCTCAATTTTTTCAGTCATTAATATTTGCCATCAGTTAACTCGAACCCCCCAAACTCGAGCCATTTCTTGTTTGTTTGTTTCCCTTGAGAGTATGAGTTAGCGGTGTTCTACTGTACTTGCGAACTCGATTGCCTTTCGAGATAAAATAATCAGGGTCGGTCTCACCTGTCTCTGCCACTTCGGTGGCCACTGCGATGTTTTCGGTGTCGGAGAACGCAACAAATCTTCTCTGAAGTTATATATGTTTTTATAAAATAACTTAGACACCAGAATGCTCTGATTGGTCAAAAACCTATCGTTCATTTTATCGATAAACCCCAAATCACTTAATTGGAGCAAAAGACCGCCCTTTCTACCAGGTTCGGGGCGTAACAACCTATTTGCGATGTTGATTGAGCACAAGGAAAGTTGTAAATCGCGAGCCGAAGACGGGGGAGTTAAAAAGATATTTCCTACAAAAGCCTGCGTGGGTAATATCTTTGGTAAAGCAATAGCATCTGCGGTCCTCTTCCTTTGATAACTGTGATATAAAGCTGAATATTTTGGAAACCACACTGCCTTACTACGTGATATAAGTACGAACACTGTAGAATCTGTGTATATTGTAAAAGCGCTAGCATCAAATAAAATTAGAAATGTTTTTTAGAGGTAGTTACGCAACGATATTTTATTTCGGTTTTGACAACGTCTTTAATTACCTTCACCTTGAACTGAAGAGACCATCAAATATAACGTTAGATCGGAATGAAAAAAAAAAACAAACGAAGAAATAATAAGCCGTGAGAGTACCAGAATGGCGGAATGATCAAATTGGTTTGCAAAATACAAATTAAAGAAAAAACACGATCCTAAATTGTTTAAGATACCTAAAGCATGATTAATTTAATCCAAAAGCCTAAAACTCTATTTACGCCACAAAGAGACAGGTCCTTATTTATCTCCTTCTGCAGAGGGTTTGGAGGATTTTGGTTATGTCACCAAAAAATATACCTGATCCCCCGAGGGAGGCAGAGGTTGGGAAAGGGGTTATCCTAGACGCGCGATAAAGGCCAAAATTGATATGTGATGCGTGAATTCATAAATTTATGAACCAACGTAAGAGGTGATTTGCCTCCCGAAAAAGGCTGAAATACACGTGAACAACGTAACCCGTTAATTTTTTTCCTTTCGTTTCTTAAAAACTTCAAGATATCCCCGAAACAAAGAAGAGAGACATGGTTTGATGCTACTCTGGTTTACAGATTCAATGAGTGTAACGGAAGAAATTACATTTCATAGACCCAA